GCGGCAAGAGAGAGAGAGAGAGAGAGAGGGGGGAGAGAGAGAGGGGGGAGAGAGAGAGAGAGAGAGAGAGAGAGAGAGAGAGAGAGAGAGAGAGAGAGAGAGAGAGAGAGAAGGAGAGGGAGAAAAGATATCGTTTTTCCGAGAGAGTTGGAAGCAGTCGCATTATCTTGGCGGAAAGGTCGACAAACTTAGCCCGCTTGACCGACTAACGAGCGTAATTACAGGGAACTCGGTATTGCGCGAAACACACAGGTGGTGTAATGATGTAACTTGGGAATTACCTTTAGGAATTGCTCACGCGGGAGCAATTAATACACGGCGCTCTCGGGGCCAATGCCTCAAAGCACTAACCATAATTTCAATTCATTAACGGCTTGGCGCAAGACACTCGCTCGCCCGAGAAAAAAAGAAATTGAGAATAATGCTCGCCACACAATATAAGAGCGCGGAAAATTACAAGTTACAAGCTGCTAAATTACTTTAACACGAAAGCATTATGCAGTCTGCGGGACAAAAATTAAACCGCACGAACGTAGAAAATATTATAACGGAAGCGTTCCGACCGGCAAGAAGATTGGACGGTTCCGTGCAAATTTACACAGAGTTTCCGTTATCTGTACTGCGCTAAGGCAATTAAGTTGCAAAAGTTCACGATGTATCAACATTCCTCCAACCGCGATGTACGCCCCAACGGCGCGTGCGGTCGGAAAATATCGGTTTTTCTCGGGAAATATTCAGAACCGATGCTGCTAATGGGGAAAGGGATTCCGATAACTTTGACAACGGGGATGATACGGGGAAAGCTTTCCGAAGGTATTTTCAACGCTGAAAATGGCGGTATAGGAAATAAGAAGTCGTTAAAGTTTATTGTTTACCGCGTTATTGGTGACCGCGATGAGACAGAGAGGGGGTGAATAGTCAGTTATTTTAACATAGACTACTCGATATTATATTATATTATTAATTTAACCAAGTTATACATATATACATTATTAATGCATGTTTGTATAATAATTAGGATATGTTTTATATAATATATGATACGTATGTATACTATATGTGTAACTTGTAAAGCAAACTATTGTTCAAGTTTGTATACGACGGTTAAACCGTCGTGCATTAAACCGTTAAAAATCAATCGCTCGCTTTGTATTAAAGAGTCAACCCGAGTCGAAATGTTAGTTCTACATTAAACCTGTTAATTCTTTCGACCTTGAAGAGCCAATGCAGAGACTCTAAATACAAAACTGTGCCAACTATTATCCTACCTTAATATTACAAATTATTATTTAGCTGTTTTTTCCGCATTTAGTCCCAGAGAAAAATTTGTTTCTAATAATTATTTGATATTCGATTACCTCAATATTCTATATTTTTGATCTTTATTTTTTATTTTAATAAATGATAAATCAATTTACCTTTTACTGAAAATACATGACATTAACAAATGTGAAATAATTAACGTAGACAAATAATAGAATTATCTGTAAATGAAGAAATAATTTTCCATTATTCACAATCCCTTTATAATTACTTTTTGTAATTGGCTTGGGAATTTCGATGGAACGTGGGGACGCAAAAGGAATCAATTGAAAAGGCAACGATGGCAGTTTTGTATCTAATAATGCTAAAAGCAATATCTACAATTGTATATTATTTACGATCTTTGATTGACAGAATAACAATTAACTGTAAAGTTGTACCTAACAGTCGCGGTCCGTCATTCAGTTGGTCCGACTTAATATTTTTCGTGCGAAAAGTAAATATGGCTACGGGGGGGGGGGGATTCATGGGTAATCAGAGATTCGAGAAGATTCTATGGTTGTTACATGACGTCGCGAGACGCCACTGCATCGCTTGATTTATCTAACGGCAAGGGCCGGCTTCAATTTCGACTCGGGTATCAAATTCTCCTTATTCACCGTAAGCTCATTCAAATATCCGCTAAGATCAGATATCCATGCGTAATAAATTCTACTCACCTCGAAATATTACGATGTACCGTTGGCCATGATATTTTGGCGCCATTCGTCCCGGCGCAGTTTCCCTCCGGCGCAGCGTACCGCGTCCTGGCGCCCTGCATCCCGGTATCCCGCATCTTCGCTTTCCGTTCCAGCAGTTCTCGGTTTCTGTCTACTCCATCGTGGCATTGATATTGGCGTTGGCATTGATACTCGCACGCAGATACGATTCAATCGGAGAAACGCAGGTTAACGAACGCGATGTCGACGAGGGAGTCGAAACGAAACTTCGCGAACGATGAGATAGAATGTCGATCATCCGGCGGGAATTGTAAGCGAAGTGCCGATTCAAGCCTATACACACCGCAAGGGAGCGCGTCGCTCGCCGGCTCGCGACATCACGTGACTACTACTCGCCTCAGGCAAAGTCACGCGCGACAACGGAAAAAAAGGTAAACATAAAGCGTAGACGTAGTAGTGAGCCTAGACTGCGCGTTTTCGCAAATTTCGAGAGTGGGGGAGACACTTGCTAGAGATATGGTACGCCGCGCGTTGCCTTCCTTTATTCCCCTTCCATCAGGTGCGAGGGAGAAGCGCAGATACAAAACAAAGTGCTTCTTTGCTACGCGAGCTTTACGCCCGCTTCTCGAGCACGCAGTCTAGCTATACTACGTTTATGCTCAACAAGTCTCGTTGCCCTTCTTTGTCACCCAATATTTTTGCCCGACATCGAACGACCATTAGATCGGAGGGGAAGCTCCCAGAACATTCGGATATCTTCGAGACGGGCGGGCTAATCTTTCTTCATCGCGTATTTGTCCGAGTGTTCGCAGTTCGGGTCGTGGCGTGTCGAGTGACACGCGTGTCGCGAAGTACGCGTATCGGTTCGTTGGTTATCATCCTCCCCGTCGAGTGAGTGAAATATTCCGTCGGCTCTTGAAATATTGGATCAGGGCTCTCGTCGCGGGGGCGTCGCGGTATTTCATACGTAGTTTTTTTTCGATCGAATCGTATCTACGCGAGTGTCAGTGATAGTGTCAGTGCCAGGAGTAGCAGCCAGGGATCGGGATGCTGCATCAGGAGGCGAAGACGGAGGATGCGGGACGCCGGGCCGTGGTCAATGGCACATCGCTGGTAATGTCAGCCATTTTTTACGCGACATCCATCTTTTTTAACGGACTTTTGACGAATTCGTTGAGAATATATGAAGATACATGAGTCGAAATCGAACCCGACGTTCGTAGTCTTTTGTCGTTTGATAGATAATTATGGCTTTATGAATCATCGGTTATTTATCAATTCTCATTCGCACTTGTTTCATATGAAAAGAAATATTGAGATATTCGGTCGATTCTTTTGTCGAACTTTCTGCACTGCACTTGTTGAACCGGTGCAATAAGTTGGAGCGAAACAAGATATACTTGTCTTTCTCCGACTTATCGCACCAGTTTCGAAAGATTTTCCAAAAAAAACAAACCTATCGATGGACATCTGAATAACGATAATTGTTTTGTGCGAAGTCTCCGTTGATTCTACTCGTAAGTTCGACTAAACTTGCAAGGTTAATATATTGCAACGTCAATAATTTTACAACAGTGTTGAAATGTCTACGATACTCTTCGTATCGTTAATATTCTCGAAAGTTGGATTAATTTCGGTTAGACAATCTATCTGAATCAGATACTTAACATAAATATTCTCTATTCGTCCATGTTAAATTTTCCTCCCGTTTTTTCTTGTCGACACATAGAACAATATCTTATTTGTCGTCTTTTTTGCAAAACGACAAAGTGCAAATTATTTCAGCCGTGACGGTGTGCGTAAATGCGCTACATATATTTTCGTATATATCCGTATCTGTTTGCTCATGCACCATTTTCGTGTTAAAAACTCGAACTGTTTTGCTTCGAGCAACGTTATAAAACTTCTCGGACAATTTCCACGCTAAACGATCACCGTGGGTGGGGACGCAACATTCGTCATTTGCACGCAATAAAACGCAGTAGTAAGACAGTACAATTCCGTGTGCTTATTCTCGCGCTTTTTTGCATGTTTTCACCGCTCATGTCTCCAAGTATACAAGAAACGAGCGAGCGGGACTCGAATTTGTAAACGCGGAGAGCGGAAATTTTTTGAAAATTTCAAACGGCCGCGCACACGCTTAGTTTAGACATCGCTCCGCCTGTAGCCGGATGCCCGCATTGTCACGAACCAACCCAAGCCATTCGCAACGTCGTGCCGAGCGAGCACGCTGGCAAGGAGTTACGGGCTCCTTCGACCCGGACGACCTGCTCCCGACGCGTACCCGGCGTCGGTGATATATATTCGAGCGCAGCGTCGCGACGCGCGACGCTCGAGGGTCCACTCGAGTTACGCGAGCGAGGAGCGCGGAACGCTCCCTCGGAACTATATTGAGAATTATATGACCGTCTTATCGCGCGCGCACGCGCTGGGCTTCACCTTCGTGTGCACGTTTCAAGACCCGCGGCGATCATTAAGATCGTCGGCGGGAGCACGTGAAGGCTGCGTCCGGTCGGAAGGTCGCTCTCATCTGACCCCTTGATCGCCTCTGTGCGCGAACGCGCGCGTTTCGTTGCGATGACGTATTCATGATGATGCAACGACGCCGCGACTATGGAGTCGACCGGCGTTGGCATTAACGATATCGAGTGTTTGCTGTATTGTTACAGCGGGGATCCTAATTGAACGTGGAGTCTATTATTCGGAGTACAATATGATATTCAAGCCGATTGTTTTCCCGGTTATATTCCTTTGACGCTCATCGATGTGCCCGGTATGTACAGGCAGGGAACGGGACGAGACGTGGGGGAGAGAGAGGGGGGGGGGTGGCTTGCAAATCGAGTCCAATCGAAAAGTGTCAATTTATCATGACGTTCGCACACGCGAGCAGCGAAAAGCCGGGCGGTGGAAACTGAGCGAAATCCGTATGGAAAAACGGCTCGAAATTTTGTCCGCTTACACCAGCAAACGCGCCGAGCGCATGTAGTAACCGGCGTGTTTCTTCTCCTTCTGTTGCAGATATCCAGGAGTTTTATGAGCTGACGCTGCTCGACGAGTCCAAGTCGGTGCAACAGAAGACGGCGGAAACGATTCGCATCGCGGATAAGTGGGAAGCCAGCGATGGGCCGATCACGCCGACCTTCGCCCAGAATGAGGTGAGTGATCCTTCTTCTTTCTTATTTTCATGCGCTTCGCGCGCCTGACGTGCTCTCTCGTTCTCTCTGTATCCGCGAGGGTCGCGCGACTGTGGCAAATGCGCGCGCGCGCCAAGTCGCAAGATCGCAAGTCGCGCGATGTTTCTCGATAAGAGCGACAGCGACGGAAGATACGATTTTAATATGAGATTGCGAGAACAAACTTCCTGCGCTTTCGCACGCTTCGTTATTGCGAATACGGCGAACGATCGCGCCGCGTGCGCGAGTGAAAAGTCGAAGCGCGCTGTTCCCGGCTTGATTCGCCGCGGCGAACGCTAATCACGCGTCGCGCGGCCTTGCCTATCGCGTAATTAGCGCCGGTAATTATGATCGGCGAGTCGATTGGCCCGGAGGGTATCATGCGGGTCCAATCAATCGGCGAGCTCGCCGATTTTAATTGCTAATTGCGGACCGCGTTACCCCTCTCTGCCCTCCTCCTCTTCCTCCTCTTCCTTCATCACAGCCCACCACTTCCGCCTCCGCCTGTCCCCGCAATCGATGACCGTAGCGTTGCGACGACGTCATAGCAGCAAACGATCGACGTGACGCTCAGCATGGCGCAACGATTGCACCGTGCACTTTGTTACCATCCCGGTCACGTTCGTCCACTTGCGAGTTAACCGGATCGTTAGTGTAATTTCACGACGTTGAATATATTCGCGCGATTGATGAGAATACTCCGGCGACGAGGTAACGACGCCACCCCTGGCCCCTCTTTGGGGGTTCATTGTTTTCGGGAACTAGTTTTGATACGGTCACACTATCGGCAAAGAGCCATTGTTGCTTGTTTTTCCGGCACATGTATTGAAATCGTCGTAACCGACGCGTTGCCTGGAAATATAGAAACGCCAAATTTCAGTTACAACGTTTCGGCGGCGCGCGCTACCGTTTGAAGGCAGTGAACTGTAATTGAAAAATATCTGTGCAGTGAGAAAAGAGTGAAAGAGGAAAGGTAAAAAAAAAAAAGAAAGAAACCAGCCGTCTCTCTGTTAAAACGCGTTACGCTATGTCATAACGGTTACGGTTTGTCGCCGCTCCTCGTCTGACATCGCGACAGCGATCTCTCCACACTCAAAACGAACGCGTCTTTTAACGGAAAGCGTCCATGCGGCAGTTGCACACGCGACAATCTCTGCGTATAATTAGGCACACGGCAAATGAATGATCAGATTCAGCGTCGTGTATCTCTTTATCATTCTCTCTTTCTCCCTCGCGAATGCGGAGTACATTGATAAAGCAAATTGGCGCGCGCGACAGCGACAACGCGAAAGTCCCGGTACTTTTATTGCTATCGCTCCGCGTAGAGTTTCAGTTTCCTTTGAACGCGTCGCGATGCGACGCGACGCGACGCGACGCGACGTTTATATAGCACATTCCGCGCGTTCATTTCATCGCGCGGACAGGTATCCGTGTGTGTGAAAAGCGTTCTGTGAAATTCTTGCCGCCGCGGGGGGTGTAAACGAGCCGCGCGTACTTCTCTCGACGCTAAACGCTCCGCGGCTTTAACAATGCTTTTCGGACGCGCGTAGAAAACAAATTCGGACTCTGGTCCAGGGACCCAGCTCGCTGGATTCGCCAGTGTTTTCCTTTATTCGTGCGATCGGAATTAATGGTACACGCAAACACGCACTCTCGTGCCCATAACTCCCCGCGACCTGGATTTTTTCCGATTTTTCGAGAGGAGCTTATCGTACTCACAGTTTTCGTTAAAAGCGGGAAAATCTTGATGAGGAATCTGTGTTTGCTTGCAATGAGGTAATTACTAGGGAACGCGAGCGTTGGTATAAGAGCTCAAGAGTTCTCATAACAACGTTAATCTACACGCTTATATGAGGGGACTTGGAGAGATAAAATCTTAATATACTAGTAAAATTAAAATCGAAATTTTATTTGTCAATCGGGTGTATCTTTGTACGTGAGTCAAATGCAGATTTCTACGCTACTCTTTTTGCTACTTCTTTTGGGTCTTATAAATGTAGCAGAAAGGGCAGTTTCTTACAGTTCTGCTCAAAAGGGCGGAGAAATTTATACTCGCAGCACCGCTGTTTGCTCGCTGTAAAAGTATGGCTGTACGCAACGGCAAGAAGGGATTATACCGCAGGCAACAATATTTCGTGCCAAGCGAAGTATCTCTCTTTTCTCCCTCCCTCCCTCCCTCTCTCTCTCTCTCTCTCTCTCTCTCTCTCTCTCTTTCTCTCTCTCCCCCCCTATCTCCTTTCCCGTCTCTCTACATGTGTAATAAGCTACGTGATCGGCAGAGTGTCGACATACGCGTGTAGTAGTATGTACAATCTGCGCTACATATGTACACGCGTGCTAATATGTGCCCGTACGATCAAGTAAACGTTATTGCATACATCGGAGCTTCAATTGGATTAGTCCGTCACGTGCGGCATTTCTCCGCGATAGAGAAGACCGAGATTGTCGAGCTCCGCTCACACATTCGACCCGTTCGTACTCGACCACTCCGCGATTTCAATTCACGATCCATGCGCTAACTCGCACCACGGATTAATCACGCGACTCGCAGCCGGAGCGGTATGTTATTTCTAAAATGAATGGATTATTTATCGATGGCAAATCGTAGCGCGCGCCACGCGACTCTGACGGCGAATCCATATATCGTTCTCTGGTCCTCCCATTGCCGACTCGCAACGAAGTTGACGCGTTAAATTTAATTCGCGACAGTAATGAGACTGCTTTGTAATAAAACGCTAATTACGCCGTGCTTTATCATAGAACGGATCGACAGTCAGTCCAGCTCGAGCAAAACGGAGCAACAAATTCACCTCAATTATGTCGAATTCAACTGCGATAAAGCGCTTTTCGCGTAATCACCGTCGTGTACTGCTCGGTCGTTTCGCGCCGTCTCGTCGGAAATGTGCGTACACGAACGTGCGACTGTGAAAAGAACGCGACGACGGGAGAGATGGGGCTTAGTTGCGTATTTACCAGATGGCTTACTGCCATTTTTATTCGGTATTTATAGAACGGTATTTGCGTTTTTTCCCCGCCATCGTGATCCCACCTTGGATGCTATAATTTAAATGTTTCCGCAGTTTCACATGGAATTATTTACCGTTCGTTTATCGTTAATCGTTTGTTCGCTCGTTCGAATAATAAAACGAGGTATTATGAAATTTACTAAAAAAGCAATAAACACTCGTGTCTGTTTACCGACGTGCACGCTTGAATGCGACGCTACATTTATTTTTTTCTGTTTTTTAATCAGTTGAATGCAGATTTGATCGCAGACTTTAATCGAAACAATTATTACGTGGAAAACAAAAACGATGTTCTTCAATTTTGAAGTGGTAGCTGACCGAAATGCGATAACGCATGTCGCAACTTCATCGAATATTTGGTAATTTAATATTTTATTGCTTATAGTCGGAGATATATATATATATATATATATATATATATAGAGAGAGAGAGAGAGAGAGAGAGAGAGAGAGAGAGAGAGAGAATGTATGCATCTGTATACACATCGTCGTTGCCAATAATGAAACTTTATAATCGGCAAATATCCAGGGAATAATTTCAAACAATTCCCAAGCATAATTGAAACCTATTTAGTTTCGTTCAGAATTACCGTATACATCGAAGACGCTCAATAATTATTAATACGATGACGAGTGCGCGTGGCGATATTACTTACCAAAACCTAAGATAAGTTTCTCTCGATAACGTCTCGTCGACGCATGAATTATTTCCGTCTCGCAATTATTAACAGAGAAACACCGAAATGGATGACAAAATCTGAGTTCTCAGCTTTAAGTAGAATTTGGCAGAATTTCCACTCGTGAGGCTTAATTATCAAGATACGTGCCGTTTAAGTATAACATACGATTAAATTTTGATGGAAGAAAATTGACTTCGGTTTTCGATAATGAATATCGTTTTATCGATCAAAGTGCAATTACGGAACGACCTACAAAATCCGCCCAATTGAAAAGCGCTTAATTACCTCCTCTCTCTCTCTCTCTCTCTCTCACTCTCTCTCTCTCTCTCTCTCTCTCTCTTTCTGTAGACAAACGACAAATCGACGGTACGTCGAGCGATGCGCGGCGAAACGGTGCCGAAACAACAGTTAACAACTTCTAATGGCGCATTAAACGCAGGCCATTACCGTCGCGAAATAACGCCGCTGTTCTTCGTTATAGCGACCGTTTTGCCGTTCGGTAGCTGTCAAAACTTCGATACACATTGCTGAACGGTCGCGCTCGCTTACCGCGGCTTTTACGAGTTTAAATTCGCGCGTGCGGACGCGGCTAGCCGCAAGTGCCACCTGAAATAATACATTTGCACTCGATAATCCTAATTATACGCAACAACGACGATGCGATACACGTGCACAGCCTAACGGCTATGCTTCGCGTAGCATCCGCGAGAAATGGGGTGAATTTAAGCAAATTCCAGCGCGACAAAGACAATCTATAGCACGACGACGCGAGCGACGCGAGAGATTTCTCGGTAAATATGCGTCACTACTAAAATCATGTCGCTGATGAAGAAGATCAGGCACACGTTACGAATCACAAAGTAATATTTCGAACGTACGTTACACTGTAATCTGCATCGCGTAGCGGCGCGGGAACAAGTTTCTCTCGATAACGTAACCATCGCGCCACTTATTGCCACGCCCCGCGAATATCCGCAAATCCGGCTTTAAGGAGCGTGCCAGGCACGGAATATTGCCGCATTGTAAACGGACGATATTTCCCCTGTTTGTTTTCCATTACTTCGCGAAGGGGCGGCAGCCCACCGCTGTCGGTGGAGTATGCACCGCTATGATAAGGGTCTACTGCACTCGGTGTAATGGAAAATTCTGCCCCATCGCCGCCGCCGCCGCCGCCGCCGCCGCCACTGTACGTCGCGAATATCCTTCCACGGTGTCCGCCCCGGTTCTTCCTTGCCGAACGAACACGATTTCCCGCGGGACGGTGAAATCGATAAGG